GTTTTCCTCCCTTCAGGGATGCCTCCCTGTTCTTAGGAGTTGGACAATCTGGGTTCTTGGGTAGACTGGTCTGGCATAACCAGGCCCAAAGTTCTCCCAGGGCTGCAGGGCAGGCAGGCGCTGGCCAGGGTGCTGAACCAGTACAATGCTCTCCTGACTACTCAGGAGAGCATCAGAACCTCCATGACTGTTTTGGCCAGTGTTTGGCGGAAGAGCCTTGGAGTTGAAGCCAAGATTTTCTAAGATCAGTGTGACTCTGGGAAGGTCATCCTTACTCATCTGCCCTGGACTTGCTTTTTCACTTGTTTGTTGAGCTTCCATCTTACTAAACTCAGAAGGCTGAGGTGAGCAGCCGCTGGGGGCAAGTGATTGCCATCCTTTAGAGCCCAAACCTGGTTTTGACACCCAGAGAAGCCTCCAAGGAGTTTACCATCCAGGGGGCTCTGGGCTTGTCTCCTCTGCAAGGTGGAGGCTGTGCCGGGTGGACCAGAGTCCCCTTCTGCTCCAGGCATTCTGGAACAGTAGCTGTTAAGCTGCTTAGGGGTATGAGGAGCATTTTGCCAAAGAATGTTTTTGCTTATTAGGATCACACAGCATTGTCCTTTTTCAGACAGGCCTTGATTCTTCCCAGCTTCTGGGATGAGTTTGGGCCAGGGCATGAGGTCTAGGACACCTCTATTGAAAAAAAAATGCTACAGCTGTAGAATCAATGATCCCTGCTCTGCCGCCCCCCTGGGGACATCTGGCACAACAAATGTCACTAGGAGGGTTTATCTTGGGTTTGAGGAGCACTCCTTGAGATGGTATGCCTAGCATACTGGGCACCATATTAATGCTTGTCCCCTGCACTGGGGACAGCACAAGGTTCCTATTCTTTGGCTCACTGAGTCTCATCTCACCTACCCATAAGACCTTGGTAATAATTGTGACTGGCACCCACTGGGCCACCATTACCTGCTGATATGACACATGTTTGCCACACACTGGCAAAAGGAATGTGGGATCACATTCATGCCTGCCTTCTAGGGTCTGTCCTATCACCAGGGCTGGAACACCACACTGCCTCACCCCCAGTGCTGGCTTAGACTTGCCTTATAGCCTACTAGCAGAGGCAGATTCAAGGCTCATCCTAACTGGAGTGAGCCAGGGTGTGTTTGTGGCAAACAAAGTCTGGGGCCCAGATCCTGCCTGGGTCTCTCTGGAGCAAGAAGTCAACACTACCCAGCAAACATGCAAGTGTTAGGACAGCAAAAGGTAGAGGTATGCTTGTGGGGTAGTGAGTCCTGTGTTTACCAGAACTACACCAAAGTGTTATGAGATTAGGTGACAGAGAACATGACCTACTCCCTGTGTCCCAGTTGTCCTCCTGTGAAGACAGCCATGGGTCTGTAACAAAGTGTTACTAATGAAAACAGATAGGGAGGCCCCAGGGAGGCTGGGCCCTAAAGAGTGAGTCTGTGTGGGACTCGCCACACATTCTTTAACTCTGCGTTCATAGGCACTGCTCAGCTTAAGAATATACTCGGCATTGCAAACACTATGCATTCTTGGGATGGGTCTTAAGATACTCATGACTTGGATTGGAGGTGTCCTGAAGTTCAGAATGGAAAGGTAACACAAGGGGCCACTAATCTAAGAATGGGGAAAACCATCCAAAGAAGAGAAAGTGGAATGCGGGTCAGTACAAGGTCTGTGGCACTTCAGCACCACTGGAAGACAATGGTTTAGAACCAGACTCATATTCTACTTGTGTAAGCCTCTGATGAACTATGGTATTTCAAACCATGCAAGGGTGGTGCTGTGGACCTCACTGTATCAGAACAGGTCATAGGAACTCACCTGAAGGACTGTCCTGTATCACATCTAGCCAAGAACCATCCCCCAAAGTCACAACTTCTGTGTCTCACTGGCAATGGCTTGCCCCAAGATGGCTGTTCTCAAAGCCATGGTCTGCTCCCTGAGGGTGAATGCTCTTCTTTCTTGCATGACATAAATATAGGTAAAAAAGAAAACAAAACAAAAAACCCACACAACCAAAACCACAACAAGCTGAGCTGAGAGCCACTAGGTTGGCTGGGCCAGAAGCTGAGTAACAGAGCTGGCAAGAATGACTGGAGTTCTCCTCCACACTTCTGGGTGTGAGGATGGTGCGGTGCTGCGGAAAACAAGAGTTCCTCACCAGCAAGTGGACTCCTTCACTGCCCAGATAAACACAACTCATCTGCCCACATAAAATCTTGTACACCACTTTTCATAGTAGTATTAATTGTAATAGCCAAAAAGAAGAAGCTATCCTAGTAGTATTAATTGTAATAACCCCAAAGGAGAAACTATCCAACTAGCCATCAGCTGATGGATTAATAAAATGTGATCTAGCCCTATAATGGATTATTCAGCCACAAAAGGAATGCAATAGGCTACAATATGAATTAATCTTGAAAAAGCCGGACTGATTCCATTTATGAGAACTGTCCAGAATGAGCAAATTTTTAGATAGTGGACTAAGAGTTGCCTAGGCTGGGACAGAAGAAAAGGGGGTAAACTGCCTGTGGGCATGGAGCTACTTTTTTGGGGATAGTAAAATGTCCTGGTGGCAGATGCCTAATACTATAAATATACTACAATTCACTGAATCACAGTACTTTAAACAGGACAGCTTATAGGTAGTTTCTCTCTCTATAAAGCAGCTACTTTGAAGGAAACAGAAAACAGGCTATTAATGCTGATGTTTATTGTCAAGGCTGTTTTGGGTTCTACAAGACATGGCCTGAAACATGCCACTGCTGCTTGTTACCATTCATAGCTCAGACAAACAGCAGCAACAGCCTGCTGGGAAACTCAAGCCCCACTCCCTGCCTTCTCCCTCCCTCCCCCACCCTCCTCCCTCCCCACCCAGTCCCAGGGCATTGCCAGTGTCCTTGATGCAAGACCACATGAAAAATGGCTGATTCTGCAAATGAATCACTGTCTTCAGAAAACAGGACTTTATATATGATTCTTTTTGACCTTTTGCTACTAGAAAATCAGTGGCCAATTTATTGTTTACATTTCCTTTTTTCCTAAAATCAGAGTTCTAAAAGTTACCAATATTTGCTGTAGATATCTGTCCAATGGCCTTTAATCCAATATTCCTCTAAATGTTCCTCTGGTTGAAATGGGTATTTTTATGAGGAAATTGCTCCTTGAAAGCCCCTTTAGCTGCAGGTATGGTCCAATTCCAAAACAGAGACAGACATTCCACCCATCCGCCAGCCTCAAAGGCAGTTAAGAGCAATGATGGCATTTGCACTCATGCCTTTCTTTCTCCACAGCATATGTTCTAAAGGCTTCAAGGTGGTCAGCACTCTGTCTCCAGGATTTGTGCTAGTGTCTGACGTGGGAACTGCCAGAAATACCCGGAAGACCAAAGCTGAGATTCAGCTCAGGTAGAAAAGTCAGGGGCTGGGAAGGTGGCTCAGTGGTAGACTGCTTGCCTTGCATGTCTGAGGCCCTGGGTTCAATTCCTCAGCACCACATAAGCAAAAAGAAAAAAGCTGGAAGTGGTGCTGTGGCTCAAGTGGTAGAGCGCTAGCCTTGAGCTGAAGAGCTGAGGACAGCGCCCAGGCCCAGAGTTCAGGCCCCACGACCGGATCCCTCCCCAAAAAAGAAAAGTTTGCCAGATTCCAACTCAATGGAAGAAGCTGGAGTGGAGTATACGTCTCAGATGTGTGGGAGGCTTGAGATTGGGAGGATCATAGTTTGAGGCCAGCTTGGGCAGAAAAGCATGAAACTCCATCTTAAAAGAAGCTAGATGTGGTAGCATAGGTCTGTCATTACAGCTACAATGGGAAGCCAAAAATAGGCAGATCAAAGTCCAGGCACCAGCCATGGCAAGTAAGACCCTAGCTTTTATCAAAATTAGTGCAGAAAAAAGCTGGAGGTATGGTTTAGCAGTATAGCACCTGCCTAGCAAGCATAAGACCCTAGTAGTTTAAAATAAACAACCCCCCCCAAAAAAAAACCCAAAACAGATTCAGGGAGCCCACTCATGTTAGCCTGGCCTCAAGTCCAGTTTCTACCTGAGACTAGCTCTGGGCTTGTTCAGTTTTTCCTGCCCATTCTTGGGCTGAGCAGACAGGCAGTCCTAGGCTATAGAAAAAAGCCTGCAGCACTTCAGAAAAGTGACAGCAGCCTGTTGCTGCCTACAGGAAATGCTGTGTTTCATTTTCAGGGAGGGAAACAAGGAAGTGAAAAGTGGAAGGATCCACTCAGATGACAGTGCCAAGCCCACACCTGTCAGCTCAGGCTGCAAAGGATCCAGATGGCCAAATGTCAGGAGGACTGGACAGAGATTTCCAGAGGCTCCCTGCATCCCAGGGTGCATGACCACACTCAGATGGAGCCTATGTTCCTGTGTTCTCATCTGAGCCCCAAGAGAGACAAGAGACACGGATGGACTTAAGGCCTCAAACTTTTACTCTTTTCCTTTTGTTCCAGCTCCTAGGGTTGTTGCTATCCACAGAAAGAGACTTCATAATGTTTCAGAGTAGAAAAGGCAACTCTGATTTTACATGGGGCTACAAGGATCAGAGAGGACTTTTTTTTTTAAGGCCAATACAGAGCAAAAGTAAGATCAGCTTCAGGTCTGTTCTCATTATTCCTCTTCCTGAAGGCCACTGCTACTGAGGCGCACATGTACCTAGAGGTCTGCTCAGAAAAGGAACATTTAGGAGGAGAATAGGAGCAAATGGGAGGATTCTGCCCTCATGTAGAGGGAACAGTATTTCCACATTGTGCCTATCCTGGTGACAATCATCCTGGTGGCCTATTGGGGGCTCCATGCATGCCACCCATCTGGGGCCCATTTTAGTAATGTCAGGAGCAACAGCAATGTATGAAAGGAAGGTACTTGGGAAGCAAGAATGGTTCCTGGATAGGCAAGAAGTCCTTTAGCCCTACAAAGACACGGAAGTCTCACCACTGGACAGCACTGTGCATTAATATAAATAAAAAAAAGTGGAGTCCGGCAACATGAATTCTGTATTGACATTTGGTTCTTAATTATAACATCCAAAATGCATTTTGTTCTTATACCACTGTGAGTGGGACTGCATCGGGACTGCTGCCGGAGTCTCCCTTGGACGAGGGGAGGAGCTGGTGGTGTGTGGACATACTGATTTCTCTTCGGGACCTATATGCAGCCGGGTGGAGAGCTGCAGCAGAAGCCTCGGCTGTGACAAGGGAGGGCGAGGCAATCCCAGCCAGCCTGCAAACATACAGGCAGAGTCCCTTGCTCCGAGCCTGCCAGAACACTGTTGCTGACAGGGCCAGTGGCGGCAGCTCCTGGACAGTGGAGGAAGGACTGGGATGTTACATTCTTGAGGATCTCACAGGTACATGTCATCGTAGCCAGGTGGGGGGAGATGGTCTGGGTTAGGTCTGAAACGGAAAGAGGGGACTAGTGAGCATGAGGAGATGCGAGGGAGGACTGGGTGCACACACAGAGGCGACCCTCTGCCAGCCCTCCAGGGTGTTGCCTGGATCATGGAGTTTCAGTCATGCACTCTACAACCAGAGGGCCTAAGTGTGAGCCCCTTTGGCTAGGTTATCCAATCCTTGGGGGCTCGATTTTACATTTATAAAATGTGGATCGTTGTCATCTACTAAGCCCATCACAGCAGCATTCAGTGTTTCTGCCACACTGTCACTTTCGGTTAAGTGTGGTGCCTCCTCCCTGAGGGGAGGTTAGGGAGCAGGCATGGAAGGTAGGGGCTCCCAGAGGGCTCCAGGGAGGCAGTAAGCAGGGACTGGAGGATGCGCCGCCCTCTTGGCAGTGGCTGGTGGTAGCAGTGGTGACCATGAGCTGGGTGCAGACATCTCAAAGGCTGTAGTGCGGGGTGAGCTGAGCTGCCTCCAGGTCCCACCACTGGGCATGATGGAGTAAATACCTACCCGGATGGGCTGGTCCCAATGGGTCCAAAGGGGTCAAAACGAGCTCCTGGGGGCACAGCGCCGGGAGGAAGCCGGTTTGGGAGGCCCGAAGATGGGTCAATGAGTGCTCGTGGAAAGCCAGATCTCAGGGGATCCACAATCATGCCACCTCTCCGGCACCTGAGGCAACAAGGAAGCTGGTTAAGCAGCTGGGCAGGGATTGCGCTGGATAAGGAGGTGAAGAAGGCGAGAAGGGACCAGGTGGACGTGTGGGGCTCAGCTGGAAGTGGGCCAGAGCCCCAGCACAAGAGTGTGAAGGGCACACTGTCACTGTACAGACACCTAGCACAGTCCAGGAAGTTCTGCAGGGATGGTTCCACAAAGTACTGCTTAGCTTTAAGGACTAATAGCACAGAGACTCTAATGCCAGTGCTTTTCCTTTAGGGTATCAGGGTGGTAGCTTCTACCCAAGTCTGGCTCTACACAGCATCTGTCCCTCATGGAGTTCCATGGACCTGACTTCGGGCCCTTGCAATGGGAGGGATGAGCCTCACGTTCTCAGGTCATTGGTGGTCAGATGATATAGTTGGGTCACTGCAGCAGGGGTTACAAGCTCATCTGAACCTTTCACAACACACACACTGCACAGCCGAGGCTGTAATTCCTTTGCTAAGTGCATGACAAGGATCACAGAGAACCTAACGGGACTCAAAGACTCCCGTTACAGAGGAAAAGAGCACTGAGGCGGCTTGGGCTGCCCTCAGGCCTGTGACCCACTGAGTGCTCTGCACTATATACCCAATATCCTTCCACCCAGGGGAGGGCTGCTGTCCCCTGGGTGGGGTGGGGGTAGGGCATGACGGAGGACCTGAGGTCCTCCCCAACATCAGCGCTCTCCTGGCTGTTCCACGAACGGCAGAACATGGCTGTGTTTTCTCAGCCACTCAGCGACAATGGCCTCCTTCACCCCTAAGGACAACACTGACGAAAGCTCTAAAATTAGAAAATGAGCTGGGGCTGACAGCCACAGAACCAGCAGTACTCACCCGAAGGGGTCTAGGTCTTCTCCCCCGACAGTAAATGGGCCCAGGGGATCACACCTGAAACAAACAAGGGACAATTACTTCAAGTCCCTGAACAGCTGGGCGCCTGGGCTCCCACAGGCTCGAAGCTGACGCCGGCAGAGTCACAAATGCACGCCCACGCATAGGAGGCAGGGAAGACACCCACCCGCAAGAGACCATAACACAAGGGTATTTTAGCACAGATTAACAGATTAACACTGATGGCAATTACAGAAGAAGGGATGAGGCAAAGCAAAGTTACGTAGAGGATGACAATCTGTATCAACAATGGTTACCCATACGTACATTGTGTTTTATTCCCACTTACCTCAAGTTCCTAAACTTTAAAGAATCAGAATGTTTACATCTGAAAAGTATTAGTCTAAAGCTAAAACCCCAAACCCCAAAGCTGAGATTTACAAGACAGGCATGTGCTGGAAAGCTGATGATCCTCAGTGCATTACAATTAGCCTCACAGGGGACCTCTACACTCTGAAACCTGGTTGTGCAGGTAGCCTGTTAGATGACCACAGGCCAAAACCTCAGCAATCTCCAAGATTTTCTCCTCTATTTTCCTTCACTGAGATGCCTAGGCTAGGAGCATAAACGTCATGCATTCTGGAGGGCATTTCTGATTTATCTCAACACACACAAAGTATCATCGATCTCTTTGTCCTTTAGCTAAATAATTTTGTGCTTCAGTATCCAAAATATATCCACAAAGGACTTTAATGAGAAAAAGTGGACTCAGCCTAAATGGGGACCAGTCAGGCTCTCCATGGTTTAGCCTCTAGGTAGCCATGGAAACAATAGAAACAAGGTTTTAAGAATGCAGAAAGTACTCCTGCCCTAGTGCTAAATGTTGAGGAGCGTGTGTGGGGGCGGGGTATGAGTGTGTATGGGCGGGGCCTGAGCACAGGGAGGAAACTAGGAAGCAGCACACTCAAGCCGCAACTGTGACAGGCACTTCTGGGGGTGGGTTTCTCTTTATATTTTTCACAAGGGATGTACACACAACTGTAATAATGTAAGAGAGATTCAGTGTTTAAAAATGTGTGCTTGGAACCCTGGCAAACCACATAACCCTGACAGTTCTGGGGCACAGGCAGCTTCCTGCCAGAATAGAAGAGCCTGTTCAGCAGCAGCTAATCCAAGCTCACAGGTAGAGAACTGGTAAGAAACCCCAAAGTGCCTCTGCCCCAACCAGTTGCACCTACTGGGCTGGAAACCAAGGCCAGGCTCCAAAGGAAGGAAGTGAATTGTTCCTGACCTAGGTTAGGTTGCCAAGACATGGTTCATGGAGCCAGACACAGTTTCTGGTGCCCTTACTCCTCCCCAAACCTGGCCTTTCTGGAGACAAGCCAGATGGTGCCTGAGGGAAGCATCTTCTTAACTCTATGAAGTGCTTGGCCAGACCAGCAGCTGCAGGGGTTACTAGTGTCTGGGCAGATGTCTAGGGTAGAGCCTAACTGCTCCTATTCTTCTTGGACCAGAGTGAGGATGAGAGAAGAAACAGCAAAAAGGCTAGCAAGGCGGCTGCAAGGCCGTCCCAGCAAGTTACACACTTGAAACTGTCACAGCACATTCAGTAGGCTCTCAACAGTGTCACTGCTACCCGTGCATACTTGTGGGAACACATTCTGTACACACAGCTCCTTTAAAGCAAATGGGCCAGGTTCTGGTCTTCCTTTCCACAACTCCCTTAGCCAGTCTTAGTCCTAGATGTGCTCAATGGGGCTCCAGGGATGAGAAAAAAAAAATCACTTTCATACAAGGCTCCTGAATTCAAGTCCCTACTCTTTTCTGGTGAAGAACTGTTGACAAGATCTTCTGGATCTGTAATGGTCTCTCTTGTTCTTGTCCTCTAGCTAATGAGGCACGAATGACATTAGTTTCTTCCAAAGGTGCCCATGAGACACGCCGATGTGTTCCCACTTTTTAAGTAGATGAGGTGTGTGGCTCTCCCTACACACCTCATCTCACCACACCTCTGCAGCAGCCCTCTCAGTGTGTTTCTCATCCCTTGTCACAGAGGAGGACACAGGCCCATAGAGGCAGTTGTTTTTTGGTCAGTTGTGGGGCTTGAACTCGGCCTGGGCGGCCTGGGCGCTGTCCCAGTGTTCTACCACTTGAGCCACAGAGCCACTTCCGTTTTTCTGAGTGGTTTATTAGAGATAAAAGTCTCACCGACTTTCCTGCCTGGGCTGGCTGTGAACTGCTATCCTCAGATCTCAGCCTCCTCAGTAGCCAAGATTACAGGCATGAGCCACCAGCACCCAGCTGGCAGTTTCTTGTATGAGGCCACAGACATTAATAAATGACAAGATGGAGCCAGGCTCCACAGTGGCTCACACATGTAATCCTAGATACTCAGGAGGCTGAGATCTGAGGATTGTAGTCAAAGCCAGCCCCAGCAGAAAAGTCTGTCAGATTTTTATCTCCAATTAACCACCAGAAAACCAGAAGTGGAAGTGGAGCTCCAAGTGGTAAAGCACTAGCCCTGAGCAAAAGAGCTCAGGGACAGAGCACAGGCCTTGAGTTCATGCCCCAAAACAAACAAACAAACAAGGTAGGGGGGCTGGGAAGGTGGCTCAGTGGTAGAGTGCTTGCCTTGCATGCATGAGGCCCTGGGTTCAATTCCTCAGCACCACATAAGCAGAAAAAGCTGGAAGTTGGACTGAGGCTCAAGTGGTAGAGTGCTAGTCTACAGCTGAAGAGCTGAGCAACAGTGCCCAGGCCGAGTTCAGGCCCCACGACCGACAAAAAAAAAACAACAAGATAGGAATCATATCAAGGCCAGTCCAACTTCAAAAATCAAGCTATTTTAACTGGGCTGTGGAGACTGTTTAGCTTTATGTAATTATTGTTTAGATTTTGATGTCATTTTATTACTGGATTTCCTAATGCTCCCTCTCGTTTTTATTTTCCCCTTCCCATTCCTCCATTTTAATTTGTTGTGGTTTTTGCTATTTCTCTTTGCAACAGTTTTGTTGGTTGTGGGTTTTTTTTTTTTTTAGTGGCTGCTCAAGAGATTGCAAGTTATCAGTCTTCTTAGAAATAATCTTTAGCCACTTCAAGGGGAATGCAGGGACCATATATATTCTCTGCTTCAGCTCTGACACACATTTTAGAGAACCCTAGAGAACAGTCTATTATGCTTTTCATTTCTTTCACTCTTCTTCCATTCCTGATGCTTCCATCTTGTACCATTTCCCTTTTCCCTTCTGTCTGAAGAACACTTCTCTTTGAGGAGACTTACTAAATTCTCTTAAGCTTCTTTCAAAAAGGAGACAATCTTTAGAAATGAAGGTGAAATACTCACTGGAATCTGGGTTGAGGATTCTTTATTCTCTATACTTTAAAAACGCTGTTTTACTTCTTTCTGGTTCCCATTGTTTCTGATGAAGAATTCATAACCATCAGAATATGTCATTTTTCCCTAGCTGCATTCAAAACTTTTCTTGGTCTTTAGTGTTCAACAGTTTATGAAATGTTTAAGACTTCATTTTTTTTTTTTTTTGGTAGGTCGTGGGGCTTGAACTCTGGGTCTGGGCGCTGTCCCTCAATCCTTCAGCTCAAGGCTAGCACTCTACCACTTGAGCCACAGTGTCACTTCCAGCTTTTTTCTGTTTATGTGGTGCTGAGGATTCAAATCCAGGGCCTCATGTGTGTGAGGCAAGCACTCTGCCACTGAGCCACCTTCCCAGCCTCCAAGTTTATCTTATTTAGGATTTGGCAGGCTTCCTGGATCTCTTGGCTGTTTTGTTTTTGCAAGATGGAAGGAGTTTCCAGTCATTATTTTCTTCCATCATTTCTTCTGTATTGTATTCTCCTTTTCTTCTTGGACTCCAATGGCCCCACAGAGTTAAGACCTTTTACAATTGTTTCCTAGGTGCTAAGAATTTTAAATCCTCTTTTCTCTCTTGTTCAATTGGATAGTTTGTTAATTTCTAAGTTAATTCTTCAGTCAAATAAATTCTATTAATCATTCAAAGAGATTTAATCTTAATTCAAATTCTTCTTAATTCAAATTCATTTTGTATATTTGTGGAGACTTTTTATCATTCCAGTCGTTTCAAGATTGGCAGGCTGATAGTCATGGGAGTCATAGCTGGAGAGTCATAGCTTGAGCCAGGAATCCTAGCTACATGGTAGGCAGAGGGTAGGATTGCAATTCAAGGGCAGCCCAAGCAAAAACACAGAGACTTCCTTAGAAAACAAACTGAGCATGGTGGAACAAGGCTATAAACTCAGTTATATAGGTAGGGTGTATAGGAGGATCACAGGCTAAGGCTGTCCAAGGCAAAATAAAAGATCTTACCTGAAAAACTAAAGCAAAAAGGCTAGGGGCCTGGCTCAAGTGGAGTGTAAAAGCTTGCCTGTGTAAGGCAAATCCTAGTATACAAAAAGCAAAAGCAAAACAAAAACCTGTCCTCACTCTTGTAGTAGGTTTATAATAGTTGCTTTGAAGTCTTTAACAGGTAATTACGATATCCTAGTAATTATGCCCAGTAATTTTGGACTTTAACCCACACAGTTTGAACATTCTGAATCTTGGGGAGATCTTGTCTTTCTTGTGGTCGTGCTGTCAGCTGAGTCTTCCAGCCTTTGCAGTACTCGTAAGCTCTGCACCCAAGTCTGTGCTCTCCAGGAGCTGGTCTGGGACCCAGGCAGTGGCTCTCCTATAGTCCTATGTGCTATTTAGAATCAGATGCATTCATATACACTTTGAAGGAAGGCCAGATGTCCAGAAACAACTTTAATGGAGTGTTCCCTGAGCTTCTTCCTCTCTGTGGTCTCCTTGGTAATTCCCACTGTCCAAGGGGTGAGGAGCATTTTGGTCCTTTGCCAGAAAGCTAGGGGCTTTATTCACCCTGTTCTGCCATGGTGGCACCCATGTCCAGCATCAAGCATTGTTACTATTTCTACAAAGGAGACAGCTATGCTGGCTTACCTTTTTGAGACAGGATTGTGCTATGGAGCCCAGGCAGCGTTCTTGCCCTGAGCCACCATGCCTGGCTCTGCCTTATACTCCT